TGTCAGAACAAAAGATTTTCAATGGTAATTTGATCCCGCTCCCAGCACCGTGGAGCTGAGAGTTAGTGATCCAAGCGCCATGACAAAGGAGATGATGTGAAGTCAAAGCAGTGGAGGCTGGTGACACTGGCCTCTTTGTGAAATGGATACTCTGAGCCCTCTGTAGTCTCCAGCGTGCGCCTCTGCCAGTGCTTTTAATAACACGCAGGATTAGGGGCTTTGGTTTCTGAGGTTAAAACTCACCTTGGATCAGCCTCTGTAACAGGCGCGATGCCACACTCCTCCTCCACCTCTTCCTCTTCCCAAATGTCTATTGCACGGCTTTAAGAGAGATGACCTTTGCAAATATTGACAGAAAATAAATTCTGTTTCGATTAGTTAGCTTTGGGAGACCTTTGCGGATCAATGCAATTAGATGGACTATGTCAATATGTGGCTGGAGCTCCTTTCACTTGAGGGACTGGCTGCAGAGGAAGCCTTGAGGTCAGGGTTATTTGTAATGAACCGGACCATTTGGAAAAGTGTAAACATTTAAACACAGGAGGGAGGTGCATTTAGTCCAGCACTGCCTCTGAGCCTCATATAGAGTAATAATGGAGCCTGCACAAGTTTATGGAGCGAGAAGTGAAGCAAGACTGCCAGAACACATCATACAGTAGTCTGTGTAACCGGTGGTGCTACAGCAAATTATAGGATTTGGACAACATTACAAATGATTTGGGCGAATCAATACCTTTTTATTGATGAAATACTATGAACATAAAGCACGGTATAAAAACATTTGCCACTCATAATTATAAGAAGTTGTAGGAATGCTTTTAGGGTCAGGCTGCAGAATTTCACATGTCGTCCCCGTGTCTCCTCCTGACACTTCAGGTTAAACTCTGACCAAAACCAGAGGCTATAGATGTGATTAGTCTCATCTGAGGAGTGCATTAATGATCAGTATATTTTAGTCTTTTTGTACAAATAGCTTCTCTGGATGTGGGAAGACAGTGTAACAGGTTTTGATTATATAAATCTGCAATTGTCTTATTTTTTTCTAAATCATCTGTTAGTAATTTTTAAGGGCCTAGAGACTTGGACTTGACTTGGACTCCTGGGCCAGAGACTTGGACTTGTGATCAGGGACTTATGTGCATCTCTGATTGAACCTCTTCTCGGTATGTTTTAGTCCATGGAAGGTTCAAAGAGCGATTCATTGATTACTAAATTGGTTGCATCTCATTGATGAACTCGTTACAGCCCTATATGCCTTCACAATTGTTCAGGTTTACTAGCAGCACAAATGCTTCAAGTCACATTACATTTTTAGGCTGATACAAACTACAAATACATGTTTTTTTGTTTTTTGTTGACTTGTTAAGTGCATCTTCCATTCTGTGCATTGCAAGGGAATTGTTTAGATATACAGTAGAACTATAGCCATCGCTTCCTTGTTGCATGGTCCTCATTAGCCCAGCAGGACTCTGACTTTATGACTCTCCTGCTCACACTTCAGTGATGAGAGTAAACAAGCGCTGGGCCAGAGGTCAGCTGCTAAGCCCACTGAATAAAAGAGGGCACAGGGGAAAGGAGAAAAGGGCAGTTAGGGGAGCAGCCCAGGCCAGTTCTACCATCACTGTCAGGGCATAAACCAGCCAATGATGTATGGGAAGGAAATTATTACATAACAATGAAGAAATAAAAAAGCCACACTCTTATTTATTCTTTGGTGGAAAAGTAAACATGTAGATAATGTTAAAAATGTCAACTGTTTAGGTCAAAATTGGAGAGACTTGTGTATGAAGAATATGCACATGACAATCATAGCATAAAGTGGCTTTTCTCACTGAGGCTAAGTGTAGTAACTTACTTTACGTTAGCTGCTGCACTGCTGTCACCACCGGACGCTCAGGCCAGAACTCATGCTCTAGATTCACTCGCGGGAAAATTTGGTTAGTGTCTTGCTTAAGGACATAACAGCAGTTTGATTGACAATTATTTCATATGTTTTGATAATTTAATGAAACAACAATATGATAATTGTAGAAAAACAACCTGTATGATTTTTCACCGTTTTGTTCTATTCCTTCAGGCTTTGCCAAGGTGACACGTCTGCTGCAGCACAGAGATTAATTCCTCTTTGACTGTCGAGGTGGCTTAGCACTAACTTGGGTGCCTAAACTTGTTTTAATACGCGTATCATCAGACGCAAAAAACAGATAAAGATTTCAGAAGGCAAGCAGTATTGCGGCGTGCAAGAATACGGCTCGGCTTTTGCCAGTTACTATACAGATTTGTCAAGCGCACAGCAAATTAAAGATATTATCTGGCACACAAGCCTATTTTATGGAGGTTGATGCGGAGCTTAGACAGCAAATCTTCAGCTTCTCAAACAAAGGTATTGCCGACCGAGATGCATAGCTCTAAAATCCTCTAGGGCTGTTGTTGTTAAAGTGTGGAGCGGGGCCGGCAGAGGTACACACAGGGCTTGTCTCAATGCTATACTCATGCGTTCAGGTTTTGTCTCAATGCTATGCTCATGAAACTTAGCTTAGTCCTTGTTTAGACTAAAGTATTTATACCTGTTCCATTGTGTTGGATTCCACTGAGGTTGCTCATTAAAGGTGATGTCTCTAACTTCGATTGTATTTAGTTTTTAAAAGAATTAATATTTTTGACCATATGACCTAGCACTATCATGTAAATTAGGTGTTTTTCCAATAGTGCATTCTTTTGCAAACAGCACGATCAGTAAGATTTGCTGGACGAGAATAGTTTGACCAATGGCAAGGATATAAATGAATTCTGTCCAATCTGGATGCTGTGCAGGTGAGCATGGCCGGGTTTAAATGGCACTTGAAAGGTTTCTCTCTCCACGATTTGAAAACTAATTTACCTTCACTTTAACAAACCCAAGTTTTTTTTGTTGATTCATTTAGGACACACATGTAAAGCAGACTACTTTTTGAACAGCCAAACACTTAAAAATGTATAGCAGAGGCCCACATTTGGACCTTACGCATCTGTGAAGGCTCTTGTTATACATTTTAGATCGCAGAAATTCTCTCCATTTTCTTCATATCTATTTCAGTGTCATCTTCCTTCTTTACTCTTGTGTTATGAATGGCTATCCAGAGCAGTGGAGGCACAAATACGTCCTATTTCACTCCTGCAGGCTGCGGTTTCTAAGGGCCAGCCCAGTAATCATTTTTATCCTTCTGATTTCCCAAATAGAAATGGACATGTATGATAAAAATGTCATGGCCACTCCACATGTCACTGGACTAACAGGATTACATGTCACTCTCTAATGCCCCTCTCTGTTTCCCTTTGCTGTGAATAGAGTGTGTTATTGCACACAGGAATTTGGTTGTAATATATGGCAAGAGACAAGTGGCTCTTTATGGCCTGTGATTATTTAGTTTGAATGAAACCAGTGATTTATGCCCATTTAGCTGAAAAGCCCTGTGAATTCCATCCGCTGCAGTTTCCCCGGATATAGAGTGAGTGGAGTGAAAGTGACAACTGGGTTTGGTGTGGAAATGTAGGCTGCATCCCAGAGTTATATTTAATATACCTGACATGAAAAACGTGGCTACATACTTACCACCACCCGCAGCAGGACGGCAGAGTGGTCCACTGAGCCGAGTAGGAGTAAATAGTGAATTAGGAAAATATGAAGTGTAGTGGCAGACAAAGCACCAGCTATTAGAGCATGTAGAGATATGTAGCCAGGCATCTGGTCGGTCAGCGCTTTGAATCATGGGCTGTTTTCCCCACTCAAACTGGAATGGAAATGGTGGAGGCCGGCCAGAATGAGAGCTCTGGGTGGTGTTGCTGCGGATGAGGGTTAGTGGAGCAGTGGCATATTGTCCACATGGATGGCTTGGCGTGTGCAGCCCGATGGAGCCTTGTCCAGCATCTCAATGTCTCCAACACAAATAGCCACATTCATCCACTCCTCTCACACCATTACACCTAAAAGACTCAAAGCCAGCCCATCCATAAATAGTGGCAAATTTGTTTTTTCTGTGCTCCTGCGGACTGAACAAAGAGCCAACAGAGATGAAAACATCACAGGAGCGGCCCCAGTGTTAAGTACTCACATGTGAAGAAGAGTGTTTACTGCTGATGGAGTGGAGCAGGTCGGAGCCTGGTAAAAGGCCCTCACTGATTGCATGCCCACTGGCTGACACAATAGAGCTACTAATCTTCTTATTTAGAATCCAGAGGCTGCCCATATCTTAATGAAGCTGTAATGAGTTGTTAAAAATCTGCGAACTGCAAGAGGGATTATTGAATTGAAACAAGTCTGGTAATCATAACGTTTGAGTACCCACTCTGTATTTACTGCCCATCGAGCCGCACTTTCATCTACTTATTAGACTACATTGCTCTGGCTTGTTTTGGTGTTTCTGACCACAGTGTGTTTTCTCTGGTCAGAGACTGAGCTGTGGTAACAGTGTCAGAGCGTCCAGGTGTGCAGGTGTGCAGTGTGCATGTTGACTATTTGATGATCACTCAAACACCACTGAGGCAGAAGGGCAGAGGGTCTTCTCTTGTAGATGCAAACAAAGACAGATTCAAGATGGGTAATAGGACTTCAACATTTCAGAGGCAGAATCTTTTCAAGATCTGTTTCTGACATGAATATTTACAAGTACCTTTTATTTGTGCCTTGGATCCATTGTGTCAACATGGATAGTCTTACTAGAGGTATACTTTTCTGTTTAGCATCCTTTCACAGAGTGGAAGTGCCACTTCACCATTGAGCATTTGTCAGTTTATGGATGTTGCTGTCATGTCAGCCTCCCCGTACACACAGTGTGCAGCGCAGTGTAAATAAAGGAGAACAGGCAAAGACATGGGCACAGAAACATGTCGCAGGAAGACACCCAGTCTATACCTGCAGGAAACAACACAACTCTATGACTTTTGTTTTTACACTGATTTAAAAACTGCACATATTGGTAGTTAAAAAAAAACTTAATTCAAGTTATTATTTGTTCTTTCAGGTCTCAGCATCAGAGGGGCTCAAGAGGAAGATCCCCCAGACCCTCAGCTGATGCGTCTGGACAACATGCTGCTGGCGGAGGGTGTGGCGGGACCCGAGAAAGGAGGGGGATCAGCGGCTGCAGCTGCAGCTGCTGCAGCATCAGGGGGAGCTGCTGATAACTCCATCGAACACTCGGACTACAGAGCCAAACTCACCCAGATCAGACAGATCTACCACACAGAGTTGGAGAAATATGAGCAGGTACCAACCACAACAAACTATCACATCATCACATAAAGTAATTCAAAGTAATACAAAACATGGTCATTTACGAAATGTAAATAAACGTGTATACGTTTCAAACATTTTACATTTTGTTATGTACTCTCAGTCATCATATCTAAACGTTTAAATCACCTGACCAGACCTGTCGCAGCATCTGACAATAAGAAACTATAATAAACCGTGGTGGTGCATTTATAAAAGAAGACCTAATGATCCGAATCGGATTATCCCGTAAATTCCTGGTCATAGACGTTCTGTGTCATTACGAGTTGCTCTTATAATATGTATTTAGAACTCCTTAACACAATCCTGCATCATCAAGTGAATCATTAGGACCGGTATTTAAGGATTAAAGGGACAAGTGGAGCATAAAATATAGCCACATCCACTTGACTGCTCTCCTATAGTAACAAACCAAGCGGGTCATCTAGCAGCTAGAGTCCAGCTAATATGGACGAGACGTATCTTGGTTTATTGCTCTAATAGAACTGTCAATGTCGCATCTGTTCTGAAATGTTATATGATCATATGTGTTCATACCCATGTTGTAAGCAGTGGCAGAGAAGCACAGTTATAGGCTTAAAATTCCATATCTGTACTGACTGTATTTGATCCTAGAGAACTGCAGTGCACTTTATGTACTGAATCAAAGTGTGATCAGGCTTATAGCATTTTAAACCGGTTACCACTGATGCATTATGGGAGAAATAGAATGTGTAGCAGTGATGCCTCAGCAAAGCAGTGAGCTAAATTAGACTAATTTACTTCATGCTCTTAGAGGGGCGGTAGGGATGTGAGGCACTACACTTTGCCTGGAGTAAATGCATCTTTCTTAAGGGTGTTTCCAGGTTTTAATTATCTAAATGTAAATACTTAACGAATTTTACTCAGAGTAATGAGCTAAAGTGTGCTCTACGTAAATGAGTTATTCTAATGAATCATGTATGAACTACTGGTTCAGACTGTTACAAATACTGGTGAAATTCAATGTGCTTCATTGAGACCAAGCCAAAAAGCATTTGTATGGATTTTTTACATAATAAACTATTTCATCATTGCATAAGCTGACTGTTTATCAAATGATGTGACAACATTTATAACCAATAATGAAAAAGTACACAGTAAATGTAAATGTGCTTGCTTGTTTTATTCATAGTCAGTGCTGAATGGCAGACTTTATGTTTACTAGTGTGTTAAGTAGTAAGTATGTCCGTTCCTATAGTCACCAGCTCGTGTTGTTTCTGCCAGGCGTGTAACGAGTTCACCACACATGTGATGAACCTCCTGAGGGAACAGTCGCGCACACGGCCCATCTCGCCCAAAGAGATCGAGCGCATGGTGGGCATCATCCATCGCAAGTTCAGCTCCATCCAGATGCAGCTGAAGCAGAGCACCTGTGAGGCCGTCATGATCCTGCGCTCCAGATTCCTCGATGCCAGGTCAGTGCACAACAACAAATGTTTTAGAGATGATGGTTGCAACTCTGACGGACTCCTGTATGTATCGTGTAGCAGCAACAAGCCAAAGAGACATATCTCTTCATCAAGAATACTTTTTGGGGCTAAAAGGTTTATAAAATCAAATAATGAGTCATAGGGGCGACAGTAGCTCAGTTGGTAGAGCATTGGCCTTCAGGCCTGATGGTCGTGGGTTCAATTCCCACCTCTACACCTTCTCCACCGACTCCCACTGATGACTGCTGTCGTTGTGTCCTTGGGCAAGACACTTAACCCCACTTTGCCCAAAGCCCCCACTGAAAGATCAAGGCTATGCTCACAGTCAGAGAGCAGCCGTCCTCCTGTGGACTCACCACCTGCAGAGGGTCAGTGAGGGGCTGGTGCTATGAGACTTGGGTGGCATCTCTGATTGCCACCCCCCTGACCCAGAAATGGATTAAAGGGTAGACAATGGATGGATGGATGGATAATGAGTCATGGGTATTCGGTTAATAATAAAGCACAGTGTTTTTTATGGTACTTCACTTGACATTATATGTTCACTCCATACACTGCTACTGTAGCCACCACTGCCTTGGGGCAGACTGATGGAACCCCAACTGACCACCCCAAACTACTCACATTCACACCAGACTCATACTAGGCAATGTGGGTGTTTGTGTCTTGCTTAAGGACACAATAACAGTTTGACATTTTGCAGCTACAGGGGGCCCATTGCACCTGGTGTGTCACCAGAGGTCTCCATCACAGAACTTACCAGGTTCTGCCATGCTTAGCTGAATTGGGAATGCATTCTGACTTTTACAAACTAGTACTTTTCTTGTTTTGTCAATACACTTTTGACCAAATACATATGTAGTGTTGAACTATCAAAAACGTTTTAGTGCTTTTACAAATTCTGCAATTATTTTAGTAGATACATTTATGCACAGCGGGGCAACTCTTTTGTCAAACAAACATATATTTAGTCAACTTTAACCCCAGTATGGTACCAAAACAACCAACTACAGGTCCCTTCCATATTTCCTCAACTGTATTGTTTAAAAACAGCTACTGTACAACATAATTTGTTATTATAATGCACACATATTTGCATTCAAAAAACCACTGAATGCTGCTTTTTACTCCTCTCTTTATTGCTATATTTAAACATATTTTACTCTACTGCTTGAAGCTTGCCAAGGTCATTATAATATTTAGTTTTTTTCTTCCATTTTTCTGGCACAGTGCGCAGTGTGAGCTCAGCTTAGAGATGCACGATTTTAATTACGTCCCATGTCCCGCACATTATCCATTTTGAAGACAGTCATGGCCTCACACCTGAGAGCAGTTAAGTCCACAGGAAAAGGTAGTGGCTCATGTGTAATGGATGGAGGGAGGTCATCAGCAGGTGTTGTGGATTATTCCAATAGTGAACAGTGTAACCATGTGCAGGGACTCGGCCAAACACAGCGCCACAAGTTTTAGGGGCCAAACAATCCAAGTGGAAGCACATTTGCTGCCCACTGCCTGTGTGCAAAAGGCGGTAAACAAGGCAAAATAAGCAAATGCTCCAACAACATGATAAGTAGTGCCCTTGGGAGGCAAGGAGACCCAGATCTAGTTAGAGTTTGCTTGTTTCCACTGGAGATCCCTGCGGCTGTGGCACTTGAGGAACAATGCTCAACTGTGCATGCCGTGATTTCTATAATGCACTACGATGCACTCCGACCAGGCTCTCCACTCCGTCCCAGCCCACCCATGCACCACACTAAACTCTGCACATTACACGCTTGGACTGGGGATTGCACAGACCAAATTAACCAATGTGTGTTTTTATGCTGTTGCATGCGTCTGGGTATTCGCTCAGATTATTTGTCCAATTTTTATCGCCTCTTCGACACAGCATCCTGTTTCCTGAGGACCCTCGCAGTGCCAATCGCTCATTATTTTCCCCATTTATGTGTGAGATTGATCGCGCAATTTGTGCGATCCAAATAGATGAGTAAATGCTGGTCCCTGCTAATAGGCGCGCTCTGCCATTCTGCCCCTCCACTTAGGCGGAAACGACGAAACTTCAGCAAGCAGGCGACGGAGATTTTGAACGAATATTTCTACTCGCACCTCAGCAACCCGTACCCCAGCGAGGAGGCTAAGGAGGAGCTGGCCAAGAAGTGCAGCATCACAGTATCCCAGGTGGGTAGTGTTCATCAGAAACAGTAGCCGCTGGGCCAATCAAGAGTGAGGGAGGGAGGGGGGGTAGCCTAGGGATAGTTAGTGTAAGTCACCGCATGGAGACGGGATGTCCTTAGGTAACCTTGACATTGTGACTGGCTAATGATGCTTCAGTCAGGAACAGCCCCAGTCAGTCTGAGCAGGGCCACAGGGAGAGGAGGGAGCCTATATCATCTTGGCCTCAATCAAACACTACAACGTCCTCTTTTGCACTAGCTCCCACCCCCAATGTAAACTCCCTTGACATTTTACCCCCTCATTTCACCATGTTCTTTCAAGTAGAAGAACAAAAAAGCAAGTTTAGGAAGAAAAAAAAAAAGCATATCTATAGAATTCCCACTTTATACACTGTTGCCCGTGAAGTTAGAATAATTGCTGAATATTAACCAACAATTAATCTTTAATTTGGTTTTAATTCAGACATAAAAAGGTCTATATTTATAAAACATTGAAAACAAAAACATAGACAGGCAGTACTGAAATACTGAAGTCCATATAGGAACTTTTTGTGAATCCTTTGTCCTCTTATATTGGACAGACGGGTTCTTAAACATACGCTTATATCATTTGCGTTGGTGACATGAATTCTAGTTAGATACTTTTACTAGAGATAACTAATGCAGCCAAAATGAATGAGTGTTTTAGAAAAATCAGCTGTTGAAGAAGTCAACAATTCAACCAAGGAAAGTATTCATTATTTCTTTAGGGAACAGTGCTCTGTGAGTCTTGCTTACAATAATATCTTCTGGAATGTTTTGTATCAACTATATTTAATACAAAATTATAAATGAATATGTGCGTCACCAAATGAAGGAGAACGCTGATAACATTTGAAATTGTGCTTTTGCTAATTATGAAACCGATAATTATGAACAGATAAACAGATCTTATTTGTTTAGATGGTCCCAATATGTGGGAGACAGTTGTTGTAAAATATGTTTATACATTTGATTTGCTAATTGTATAAATATAACCCTACATGAATACCGCTTCAGCATGATAGGGTTGTCAAAGTAATACGCACTAAAACTTTACTTGGATCTAGGTACTAATTACTAAAACATATTTACATCAACAAAATTTTACATTTCTTGAGTGTTTCTTGATACATTTTAAACTGTACCAAATTAACTTGTAATAAACAAGGCCACGTATTCTTAGTTAAAGATGACACTGTATTGTCCAAAAAGAACCTTTATGAATAATTGTTGTGGTACAGTATTTTTTCTGGTATTAAAATCAAGTTTGAAATGTCGTATTGTGACATTACAGCTGGCCAAAAATTAAGATATTGATGAGGCAGACTTATCCTGTGGCAGTTCAAATTAAGGCGTTGCAGAAAAGATGAATTCAGTTTTCAAAATCAAGATATGAAAGAAAAGCTAATGTTTGTAATTTCATGGACAACAGTGTATTTCTTGTTTTATTAACCTGAAGGCAATCTCTCACCTGTAGCGGCAGGTCTTCAAAGCCTCACCATGTGCTTTCCTTCCCAGTTTATACTTGAACTAGATTTTCCATAGTTTCTTTCCCGAGACACAGTATATATGAAATCATCTATACCATAATCTGCCGTGTCTGTGTTCTGTGTGGGGAGGGGGTATATTGAGTGTAGTGGTGCAGAGTCAGTCACTGTAAAAAGCCCATTCTTTTTTGCCTTCAGGGGGTGGGAAGCACCATCACAGTATCACAGGTATGTCATGACTTCTCCTGATCCACTGTTTTCATTTTTTTTGTATCCTTGTATCTTTATGTACTAGACTCACACTGCACTGAACCCCCTCCTGCATATCCCCTGGCCTGGACTCAAGCTAATGTTATTGCAAAAAAAAAAGACAAAAATCATTCTTGTCACACTCCACCTTCAAACACACTGACACACAGAGAATGTAGAGTATTTTGTTGTTCTCACCATAGTATTTGTGTCATATAAATTTGACGGCTATTGTTTATTTACATTTTTGTTTGTTGCAGAGTTTTGTCTTCGTTTTTCTGTTTATTCTCAGTGCTTATTCAATCGGGGAATGTTACAAACTTTCTATAAGAACAAATCGGGCGATACAAGAAAATTAAAGCTGCACTTGAACTCATCTCAGGCCCCATTAGTGGCGTAGAGCTAGACAAAGGCCGAAGCAGACACTCTTATTGACTTATTCCTAGTGCTTTGGCTCATTTGAAGAAACACGCTCTCCAGTGAGATGTGATGCTGAGTGCACCGTAAGTGTATTATCGCTCACAGTTTTGCCTTTAAGAGTCAGAAACTGCTCTCTGACTGTGGCCACCGCTCAGTCATTTTTCACTCACCCCGACCAAACTGTTTTGTGAGGCTTTGTTGATTACAGAAGCAGTTCATTAAGTAAAAACCATCCGTCATGAGCGGAATGCCAATAGCAGTCTCCTGTGATGGTAGATGGCTTATAGCTGATGAAACAGCAGGATCACTTTCACACAAATCATTTCAAATCCAAGCAATGTCCAGAATGTGCAGCTCACAAAGGTGTATTTTCATTCACACTAGTAATGGTTTTGCCATGTATTTTTTGCATATATGCATAAGCCGTCTATATGCATACTATACATGTATACGTTTTTGATTCATTGACCTTCACCAAATATATGGTCTTTTTTAAGTGACACTTTCAATATTTCAGATCTCAGTCAATCTCTAGAAACTCTGACTTGAGTTCTGATCCATTATTAATGTGTCTTGTATAATTGATGGTTCTACAGCCAGCACCACCTTTGTATTAGTGCTAAGGCTCTGGGCTCTCTTGTCTCACGTGTTTTACGATCATGGGAAGATCATGTACTGCATTTGTTAACTTCCGATGAAATAAGGGAAAATAGTTGTAAATATGAACTTTAGGGTGCAACTTGGGGCTGTGCACAGGCAGCACTAGGCTGGTCTTTAAACATGCGCTGCTTTGAGGCTGCTGATGTCAGGTAATTCACTGCCTTTAAGACCTGCTTCTCTCCACACACAGGAGTCAATTGAATGCATGGCCTGCCACAAGATAAAAGGGAATTAGTTCAGTAGATTGGGTTGTGCTCCACACCTTCCAGCGGGTGCGTTTGTTCAATATTTAGCTGATCTCCAGAATCACTAAAGCGGGAGTTCAGTGGGTAGGAGAGAATATGTGTGGGAGAGTAAGAATTTGTCCTGATGCTCAGAAAGCCCAACTCAGACCTAGCTTCAACAATGCCATCACATTTTACAACCAGCCATACAGGATTCTAGCAAAAGTGCGCTGACGGCAAGTCATTTGTTTGTTTTGTTTAGTGTGAACATATTTACAATGTTAATGACTATCAAGCCATCATTGCAGCAGAATACATGTTGAAGTTCTTAGATCACTTGGCAGTCTCACATTGAAATTGCCAGTGGCCACCAGAAGACGTCTAAAAGAGCAAATGTATTGGATCATCTCTGGCCCTTAGAATCCACCATAAGCAGGTTAAGTAAAAATGATGATGGCCAGAGCTTTCATTGCTTCCAATTAAACCTTGCTTGTTAGTTTAACCTCTAGGTAAACCCATCAAACAATTGGTGTCAAGGAAACCCTGCCAACGGTGGGCCTCGCCTGAATGGTCATTAATTTTAATTGCCTAGATATTAAAGATTTAGAGCACAGAGATGTGCAGGATAGAAATGATCTGATGTCCTGTGAATCCAGTCAGTTTTTATGCCACAGCATTGGTGAGCTGCTGGGGATATTAAAATTTAAGCACATGGGTGGAAATTAAATAAAGCGTCATTAGGGGCAGCTGCTCTTTGGCTGGTCCAGCCGTGGGCTGCATGGCCTGAGTGGGGGGCAGCAGCACCGCGACAACACACTCTAATTTATAGGACCATTAAAAGGAAGCATCAACTCATTATTATTCCTGTGTTATTGCAGAGCCAGCGTTCAGAAAGGTGTACAACTTTAGGATCTTTGACTGACACATACCACTGCTTATATTACGCTAAAATTATCATTTTCTACATCATTTGTGGTCACATACTGGAAGTCTATGAACTGCATTGTCGCGGAAACTGTGTTCCTTTTCTTGCCACACTGTCTTTGCTCTTTTTTTGTTACTAAATACACATTTTTCGTGGCTACATTGCATACGTTGTATGTGGATAAAACGTGTGCATAGAAACTATGGAAGTTTTATCTTTAACAGATTTGTTATTTGAACATTATATGAAAGACTGAATTGTGTCATTATTGTTAAAACATTAAGACTGATACACTACATTTCACTGAGGCAGGTATTGTATACATGGAGATGGTGATTATGAACCAGTATGCTCAATGCAAGCCCCTGGTGCTTTGTGTTTGTCAGGAGACGGAGCTAAGAGAATGTCACGCTCCCCGCCATGAGGAGACACTAGTGGCTCCTGATTACGGCTTAATTAGCTTGTGTACCCGGCGGACATTACTGCAGGGGCTGGGAATTGGGTACTTGATGGACCCAAACATGACATCTTGAAACAATAACACTGCTGTGTACGCTGCTGTGACTTCTTGACGTCTGACTTCCCTCTGCTCCTCCCCCTCTGCTCTCCCACGCAGGTATCCAACTGGTTCGGCAACAAAAGGATCCGGTACAAGAAAAATATCGGCAAGTTTCAGGAGGAAGCCAACCTGTATGCCGCCAAGACAGCTGTAAATGCGGCACACGCAGTAGCCGCTGCAGTACAGAACAGCCAGGCCAACTCTCCTACCACACCTAACTCTGGTAGGCACTCCTGCATATAGACAACAGCAAAACAACAGACCCAAATAAGTGTGCTCTCATGTCAGCCCTGAACCTGCTCCTACACCTGACTCGCACAGCGCGCTCACACAGAGTGACAGGCCTGCTCCCAGCTCGGGGATCACAGCGCCTCCTCTCTATAAGACAGTTGATGCCAAGCAAACTCATGCATAAAGAGAGCGCTTCTGACTTGTGAACCGAGAACACATGTATTTTTGGCTAAATAAAAAAAGGCTAGAATTCAGTATGATGCCTTGGGATTTGTTTTTCCCTGACTTTCTGTCAACTTCCTGTCATTTGGAATGTAATGGTATGTAGTTCCCCCACTGACTTATTCTAAACAAAGGGGAACATAATGGCTGGGAGCATTTTACCTGGAGCTGCTTAAATGCATTAACATTGACAAATCAGGAACAGAGCATATTTAGTATGTTATATAATGAGTATCATAATAGTGAGGACTGTGACGTACCGTGGGGATGTGGTAAGCTTATGCAGTGGTCCCTTTCTCTTGCACCCAGGATTCCAGATGAAAGACGAGGAGTTTCAGCTGGACTCTGCTGAGAGCAAAAACACTCTTTTAACCAACATGTTTACTGGTACTGATCTTTTCATACGCTTCTTCTTATTCTTCATTTGTCATTGCCCATCCAACCCTAACGTTTAGTACAGAAATAGGCTGTGATGTGATAACATTGGGAGCTCAGGCAACCAACCTAGAACCCAGCACACCCCTTGCACCTCACCGTGTCCTGTGGTGTCCATTCATTTGTGAAGCAGTCTTCTCTTGTTGAGTCTTCTGTTGCCTCTCTTCCATCCCCTCCAGTAGCCCCATTTGTGGTTGTTTCTGTGGGCCTGTCTGAACTGGGTGGTGTGGTGTGTGTGTGTGTGTCCTCCTTCCTTAGGGTAGCATCATGTAGACAGACACTCATGTCTTCCCTTTCCAGGTTCCTCGGGTTCTTTTAGCCTTCCACACTCAGGAGACATGTTCTTGAGCATGGCCTCCTCACCCGGGGGCACAAGTTGGAGCCAATGTTCAGCTATTACAGGGGGACAGTTGTATCAGTACAGGTCACTGCTCTTGTCTTGCCTGTAGACAGAGCCATATATATATTTTGTTACTAAAAGACAAGAAAAAACAATTCTATTATGACCCCCTTTTTTCTACAACCGCATCTGGCTTCAACTTGAGCTCTTGGGTTTATATTGTTGTTATTTCCCTTTAACGTCCTTCCTTGATACCTTTCTGTCTGACATCTTGTCTGTTATTGGTGTCTTCCATTATTATGTTGGATCGAGCTACATAATGAATACTCTGAATCTATTTGTGAAAAAAATCCTCGTATTATTTATTGCATAGCCACCGTTGCAGATGGCTGTATGCATGTTATGTCATGTTATGTGAATCTGCAATTTTATTTTTGCAGTAAATGCAAGTAGTTTTAGTTTTGTTTTGCCCTATTTTTTGTCCCTCCACCAGTCAGTCTCTGTTGCCTCACTAAGCATGTTCACAGTTGATGACGGTCAGCATGTAACAGACTAAGCTGACCGCAGCGTCCACTCTCTCTGCCCCTGCAGGTGGATACCCTGCACCATGTTATCAGTCAGACGGTAGGATACAATGATGCTCTGCGGGGTCACAATGTACAGTCCACATGGCTTAAATGTAAGTACTCTTCTAACGAGACACATCACGGTCACATTGTACACAACTCTCTGAACTCCTATCACTGCAATTTGTAACTTAAACACTGATGCTGACTGAAGCCAGAGGGAGATAAAAACTGTAGCATATCTGTTGCATTTTTAGCTATTTTGAAATGTTCAGCCTGAGCGTTATCTGTGTGATGAAATTTGAACATGTGATGGCCCGCAGCTCTTTCCAGACATGAATTTCATCTTCCTTGATGAGGTTTGATACGGAGCCTTTTTGCAAAAGCAGCACATAATCTTTTGCTATCAGAGGAGAGATTAATTTAGCTGATGAGGAGCGGCTGAGAGGAGAAGCAGACGGTTTACCTTCCTTTTATGATGCCACAAACATTTGTATATGTTGCAAACTTTGCAAATCACAGTACTAGGAATATAACAATGAAATTGTCTGTTAAAGTTGATGTAAATGAATGCTTTGCCAGGATTCAGTTCAGTGTCTTTTCCACTGAGCTCCGGCCGTATTGCTATAAGCTCTTCAGAGATGTCAGCTTGCAGAAGGATCAAATGGTTTGTAGTTTCTCACCAGGTTTCTCACTTCCATGTGCAGCGTAAACCTGTGCCTAGTGGCTCCTCTGACTGCTCTGTGATCACAAGTCAAAGTGCCAGTGACACCATGTCTTTAACATATCATAAGCCCAAACAGTGCGACACACACGCTGCTGAAGCAGATGCACAGCCTGTATTTTGTCTCAGAAAGAGGTTTATAGATGCATTTGCATAGTCTAACCTTTGGCTCTGTGCTTGTGACGTAGAGGATTCAGTAAAGGCTAGGTGGTGCCTGGAGCGAGGCAACGCCAGGGCAGCTAAGACTGGCTTCTCAGCGAGGCCCTGCCTTGTCACATCCACTCAGCTCTCCTTCCTCAGCCTCCCTCCCCTCCCCCGCTCCTCACCCTCTGCCCCTCTGACAGCAAAATATGGAGCGACAAGCTGTCGAACGCTGCAAGAATTTGCTTAGACACCCATTTGAAGAAAAGCTCCCATTGGCTGAAACAGTTTTGTTTCTCTTTGCTGATGCTACTGTAAAGAATGCTCCAGGTCTTGCCATGTTTAACGTGAAGTGACACATTAACACAATCAATGTCTCTCCTTCTCTTGTAGCAGAGTATTCAAAAATCCATTGGGTTCATATTACACTGAATGTGATCGTAATCTCAACCTTTGTCCTCTCCTAGACTAATGGGAGATGGCAGGATGCTACCACGCCGTCTTCTGTGAGATCTGCGACAGAAGGACCTGGAAGTGTGCACTCTGATACCTCGGATTGATCCACTTTTAATGCATCCTCAAGCCGGCAATGGACTTTAAAACTGGCGACCAACTCACAGAGGACACTCAAAACGCCTTTTCACCACTACGTTACTTTCTATACATTTTTTTTAATTCACACATACAAATCCACACAAAGTATTGTCTTGACATAGTCTTCTTACTCATCCTTTGTTTGTTGGAGGAGTAAGTAACTTTTCAGACCAACATTTTCCCAGTATGTTAAATACTGAACGACCACGGTGGATTCGAATTGACATTTCATGACAAGTTATAAGGCAATTTGTTGGATTGTTGATTGAAATGCTTACTTCCATTATGAATATTGAGTTCCCCTTTACAATGCTTAGCGGATTAGCACGGCTCTTTCTTTGACTGTAATGCACAATGCAGTCTTGTCCGGCAAGTCAACAATGCTAGCGCTGACAGCTCAATGGCAGCTTTGTAGTTACTTTGAAGATTTATTAAGCCTTACAGCCATATACATCAGAACAAGGAAATCACTATTCAAACTCTGCTACATAAAGAGGCGTAATTGATTGCTTGACTATAACATGACACGCGTCCATATTTTATAATTTGATGTTTGCTATGTACATATGTAAACATTTCTTTTGTACTGCTTATTGAAATCTACAATGCCCCCTTCTGTTGATCCTTTTTCCAAGGCATGCTCGAGCAGCCCCGACTTACATGAGAAGTTGTACATAGAATAAGAAATAAGAGTAATTATACACCCACCAATCAGCATTTTTACCTCATTCCAGCTCACACAGACTAATCATTTCTGTAGCTTAGAGTGCTCACTTACTACCTCTAAACAAAATCAGACCATCTTCAACATTTTTTATTTGATTTTATTCAATGTTTTGTACGTACTTTTGGATAACATCTTTAACACTGTAAACTCTCCATTCTCTATGTAATCTAATGTATATTTTAATCTTTTAATAAAATGCTGTTGCTTATGTGCAACTTAAAATGACAAAAATAAAAACAAGAACAATATTAATAGTCTAGATGGATAAAGGGGTGGGGCTTGAATTCAAATGGTGTGTGGCTTTTATGAAGGGTTGTTGATAAATTAACAGTGAAACTGTTGTAAATATCAAAGAAAACATTTTGAATGTTGCTCATCTTGTTACTAAACCATTGAAAAAGACTAAACACTATAAAAAGTGTAATGCATAGAGGCTTCAGTATTCAGAACTGTCCATTTCCAGCTCTGTCCAACAGGGTTCCGGAGTTCTTTTCTCTTTTTTCTATTGTATGTGATTCTGAAACTGAAAGTCATGACAAATGATTTGTGGCAGTGATCTAATGTATTAAAGATGTTTAGTGTTTCTTTCTAACCAGACTACGCCCTGGACTCAAGAGTCTTCCTTGTGGTACTTGTGTCATTTCAACATGAATAAACATTTTCTTTCATGAACTTGTTCTGTTTTCTGCATGTGGTCCGCGTCATCACAATCCACTCCACGTGTTTAGAAAGCATACGTTACATAGACATTGAAAGTACTTGCTGTAAACCAGTTCATTGCACATTGCCAAGACATATTAGAATATTATCACATTTCTCCGACTCAGACTACCTCATCATTCCAGGTGAATTCTGAAAACTGAAACGGCACCAATGAAAACGAAAGTTGTTTCTGAAGCTTTAGCAGAATAAATACACGGCTTGGCTCTTTAGGGGCTGTGGCCTTCGCTGTCTGATCTACTCTGCATATTTAGAAACATTGAGAGAAATCAAATCCCCAACTGTGACTGGATTGTCTATCTGGAGGAAAAAAGATAATTAGAAGTAGATAGATGGATTTTACTTTAGATTCACTCAAGTCTAGAGATTCAAATAGTTAACAAGCTTGATTAGAATTTACAAAAGCTGAAGATCTATAAAACCATTGCTGACCATTACATTTCCAAAGTCGAGACATTATAGACATTTATGTAAGTAAGTAACCTACTTACTAGACATTTATGAACAATATTTAACATTTACGGAAATTGGTCATCCCGCACCCCTTTGGCTCCTTAGTGTATTTTTATGACTGCATAACGTATGTATGTTCTAATTGTCTGATGGTTGAGGTCCTCTGAGACTAGTGTTGTTGTAAATTAGAGCTATGCCAAAATAATCTAATAATCTATTCTATTATTCTTTGTTATATCAATCTCTACCCTTATTGTGAGTTCATACAAAAACCCTCCCCATACAAGACCATTATAAAAGCTTAATATATGCAAAAAAGTGTATTGATAATGGCCCTACATGCTAAATAATGATCGTATTTAAGCAGAGGGGAGATCCGCGCACAGCTCTTACAGCAGCGGTGGCAGGAGGTGAAGTCGAAACGTGCTTTGGGCCGAGCGCTGAGCTGACACGGTGAGTGCAATTAACTGAAATGTCAGGCACCTCTAATTCCCCCATTCTGTCTGTCTATTGTGGAGGGCCTGCATTAACGGATCATTGGTTACCTATCCCACATGGAAATTGACATCCATTTATTCTCATTTTCACCACACAGTTTCTCTTCCCTGTCTGGGTCTACACTGAGCTGAACCGTACGAGGAAAGTGCTGAGGGCGGGAGACGTACTGTACCCTCATTACAGCCTGAGAGTTCTGGTAAAATGCTAATGAAGTCACGCCAACAAGTACATTATCTTGTATTTGGTGAGAGAATTTGTGTTGTAAACATTTGCACGATTCAGGTAAATGTATCCAAGCGTTATTATATTTAAGTTTCTTTGAGTTTTTGAAAAGTGCTATAAAAAACTGATGTATTATTATTATTATCTTTATGTCTATAGCCCTAATTCACAAGAGCCGTCGTCTCGGAGGGCTTTACTGAATTGTCAATTTGCCAGCAACAGATTTGAGAAACTGTTACCAAATCAGTCTGCAGTTTGCGAAGAAAATTAAGTAATCTTTTTTTATATACCAGCTTTCACAGACCAGAGTCACAAAGCGGTTTACAATTGTTATATTTGGGCATTTTTCTCTCACTCCACACAGAGGTGGGAGCGGGCCCAGTTCAGGAGGCGCATGCCAGAACTATTGTACATGTTTTTAGTGGTAGGGGAAACCGGAGTACTCGGAGGAAACCTACGCAGACACGTTCGAACCCAGAACCTTCTTGCTGAGGGGCGTGAGTGCTATGCCAACCATCCTTAGTGGTGTCAAAAATAGTGATTTTGACACCAACAAACCATCAAAACAGGACGTTCAATGGTGACACAAGGAAGATGCAAAAATTATCCAAATCTTTGCCACAATTTCATTAATTTTTTAGTTTAGCTTCCGAAGTCTGATGCGGTCTGGCTTTCACATGCAGGTGGCACCATACTGAATTTAGAATGTGGGTAAATAGGCAATTTAAGTAAGAAAACCATTTAATAAGTCAGAATAGCAGCTGCTTATATTGTATATTTTGTGTGCTCTTACTACTGTCCTATATGTGCGCTGCAACATTGAAATTTCCCCACTGTGGGATAATAAAGGATGTCTTATCTTATTTGAATCCATCCCTGTCAAAGTGTGCAGTTGATCTGTATGAAAGACTTTGACCATCCAACCAGTGCCAGACTCCCTCACACCAGAAACCACACATACAGGTACTAACCTTTTTGCAGCAAAAATAATGATCATGTTGAGGACGGATAAATGAAACGCGTTGTGTAGTTAATAAATCGAGGGTCAGCCTTGGATGCAGCTACATTTATTTGCTTCTTTAAATGTTTCATAACACTTCGCTTTCCTCCTTTATGCCCAAGAACCCTTAAATAAAGAAATTGCATTTGCTGGAATTATGCTTATTAGAGATTTTTCTAAGGCTCATTTAAGGCGACATTTTCTAAGTAAAATATGGCATGAAACGCATGCGTCATTAAATATGGAAATGCAGAATTATATTAGCAACATGCGCCAAGCGAGTGCCAATTAAATTATAGAAAGATATCATTTATATTATTAGGTAGAGCTGCACCAGATTCAATATGGAGTTAATTCGTCATGGTTTGATTTATCGTTTGCATGGCTTTTGTTTTTTCCTCCATAATATTGTTTTTATATCGTGCTAAATGTTCAGTTTAACAAACCTTTACATTTAAAGAGAAGGTATTGTTGAAAAGGTTAGATTAGATTAGATACGAAGAAGGGAAATGCAATCTATAGCAAATAACTGTAACAATTACAACTGTTATTTCAGGGTATTTTGTAGCAGTAGAAGAAGCTGGCAAAACAAGGCACGTTTATTTTTATAGCACAATTCATACACAAGGCAACTCAAAGTGCTGAACAAAATGGGATTAAAATTAACCCTCTAGGCGCCATGGTTGACTTAAGTTAGGTAGTGATTTGTATGTTGGTCAGCAAAAAAAATAAAAAACAACCATTGCCACCACCATATAAGATAAGATAAGAATTCCTTTATATGAGGTCATAATATTAAAAGTGGGTACAGTGACTACATAAACTTTGGGTCATCCTTATAATTTCTCTCATAAAGCCTTTAAGTTATAAGAAATGAAGTGTCAAAATTGAGCCTCTTGGGAAAAAACTTCTGGCGCCTAAAGGGTTAAAGAGCATTAAAATCATATATAATCACAGTACATTCAAAAGAAAGATACAAATATAAAATCCCTCAGTTGTATGCACAGCTAAACAGAACCGTTTTTAACCTGGTTTTAAACATTGTCAGAGAGGAGGCCTGTCTCACATCTTCAGGAAGATTGTTTCAGATTTTAGCAGCATGAACCTGAAAAGCAGCCTTCCCATGTTTAGTTCTGACTCTGGGCATTAACAGGAGTCCAGTCTCTGTGTAGTAGTTGTAGTACTAGTTGAAGTAGTGGTTGTAGTGCTGCATAGTAATGAAATATCTTCTTCAGAACATTCATATTAAGACTCTGCTTTTGCTGCTATTGACTGTTATAGAGTTTAGACAAAAGTATTCAAGAATGTAGTAGTAGCAGTAGTAGTAGCAGTAGCAGTCTTGCCTC